CTCTCTCTCTCTCACACACACACACACACACACACACACATACACACACACACACACACACACACACACACGGAGAGAAGGCTTCCCCCGCCATCGCCCGGCGAACTGGGTATCATCGTCAGAAGCGTAGAACGAGCACGCAGAGACGGACACGTGGCTAGGTTGAACGCTGGCCACGTGGCCAACGCCATCCCTGTCACCGACAGAACCAGGTCCTGTAGTGTATATCGTTGTCATTTGTTTCTTACCTTCATGTCGCCATAGCCGACGTCTCGACATATCTTTGGGGAGAGGGAGGTGGTCTCAGGAACCTGCGCACATCTTCACCGGGGCAAGACGAAGATGGCGTCGGTGACAGGGATGACCGTTGCCACGTGGCGGGTGTATAGCTTAGCTACGTGTCCGTCTCTCCGCGCTCCTTCTGGCGATGGCGGCCAAGTATACCAGAGAGAGGGAGGCGGCTTTTCGAGGGTGCTGACTTCTCCGTCAATGGCGACGCAGCGAGGGAGACTGTCGTCGGACTCGGCTGCAGAACGAGCAGAGCTCCTCCTCATCCCCGCGGCTATGGCCGCGAGGGCAATGCAAGAAAGCTGCGCGCTGTCCTCCGTCCATCGCCGCTGCCTTCTGCACTCAGCGACGACGACCGAAGGGGGCAGCACCGCCATAGCTGCCCTCAGTTCGAGCTTCGTCGACAAGCTATGGAGGAGGTGCGGTGAGCTAGACGACACGAAGGGAGCTCAGATGAACCTGGTCCTCGCGGCGGACCAGGCACGTCGTGATCATAGACGTTGGGCCGGTGGAAGGGGCTTGGCTATGGCGGCCATGGCATCGCCCGACGGCACAGCGCTGAACGAGACGAGGGTGAGGAGGTTGGTAGCTATGGCAGAGGACGGCACCACGCTGGGAGAGGAGACCATCTCCACGAACTTGGCTATGGCAGAGACGTCTGCGGCTTCTTCGCCGTCGGATCTGGTGACAGCGATGGACGGCAGGAGAATGTCGCTAGTCTTCGTGGGAGCTGAGGCCTCTCCCTGGGCTAAGGTCGGCGGCCTGGGTGATTTTATGGGCGCTCTGCCACCAGCCCTCGCGGTGAGTCAACGAACAATAATAAAATTAAAATTAAAAATAGCAACAATGCAAAAGTTTGACCCCTCACTGCCATTTTCACGTTCCTATTTCGACCCCTCAAAACGTTGACCCCTCACCGCAATTTTCACGTTCCTAGTTTGACCCCTCAATAGGGTCTTCCACTGCCATTTTCACGTTCCTATTTTGACCCCTCAAAATGTTGACCCCTCACTGCCATTTTCACGTTGCTATTTTGACCACTCAATAGGGTCTTCCACTCCCATTTTCACGTTCCTATTTTGACCCCTTAAAAGGTTGACCCCTCAAAACGTTGACCCCTCACCGCGATTTTCACGTTCCTATTTTGACCCCTCAATGGGGTCTTCCACTGCCATTTTCACGTTCCTATTTTGACCCCTCAAGAGGTTGACCCCCTGTCTCTTATACACATCTAGATGTGTATAAGAGACAGCCCGAGTAGAACGGCCCATGTTATTATCGCTGAATGTAGACTGGAAGTCGCACCAAATACGGCTAATAACAGGAAACCATTTCCTTGTACCCTTATCCTGGGCTTTTTCCGAATTTTTTTTATGTTTATTTATTTTTTGCTTTCTCTTTGGGAAGCTTGCAAGGCTATTTCTGCACATGTCCACGAGCACGTCCAGATTCAGGCGTGGAGGAAAGGGGGGGCAAGGGAGGTCAGATATACGGTTGAGGAAATTTAAGGCTATTTCTGCACATGTCCACGAACACGCCCAGATTCAGGCCTTGAGAAAACTCAACGCTGTTAGTGGTTTATCCCAGCCTACTGCTCATCCAGGTCCTCCTTTCTTTCTGGTTTTTTTTTTTTTTTTTTTTTTTTTTTTTTGAGGTGGACACTCAACTACATTTGTAGTTCCATATTCGTCGTGGGCTAAAGAACAAAATCGATCCTTTCTGTGGTAAGAAATTTCCACCCTACCGTGTTCCCCCGAACACAACGCACCGTCATTTTGGCTGTACCTGATTGGAAAGATAGCTTGCATACATTCATTATCACGGTGCGTTATGTTCGGGGGAAAACGGTAGTTCCGTTTAATGCTTGCAAAGCTTTGCATTGGCTATCGAGGAAAAATGCCGAGTGTGTCCTTCGGGACATCCGCTAAAATTAAAATTGGAACGATCCAGAGAAAGAAGATTAGCATGGCCCCCTGCGCAAGGATGACACGCATAAATCGAGAAATGGTCCAAAAAAAAAAAATAAAAAAAAAATGCCGAATGTGTTTGTCAGGACAACAGGATGAGGATGGAAAGAAAAAGAAACCTTCTCGTTTGTTTTTTTTTTTAACCTGTAGCAAGACATCGTCATCTGAGATTCTGAGTGACAAATAAACATTTCCGCATTTTTCATCCATAGCCTGTGCAAAATTCGCGGTCGGGGAAAACCGAGTGCGCTCCAAATCTTGAAATCTTGTTTCGCCATCAAACCAAGAATCATCTCCATTGCCCTCTCCGCCGACATCCAACCGTGATAGTTACCTCGGTCCCGTTTCTTTGGCTTGACGATCTCTAAAAAAAAATTAAAAAAAAATTCGCGGTCGTTCGGAATTCACAGGCAATTTTCGTTCATCAGAAACGTATTTTCATGTTATCATGATCTATTTTTGTTCTTTTTTTTTTTTTTTTTTTGCCGTTCGTTCTTTTTTTTTGTTTTGTTTTCGATGCCCACGACGCATGGTCATGACCAGCTAATCAATCAACAGAGTCGTGCGTGTGCGCAATTCGGCCGATTTCCACGCACAGCAAACACAGTCGATCGCGGATAAAAACGCCGGTGGGGTGCTTTAAGGGGGGAGACTCGGGGAGAGGAGGGTTGAGGGTGTTAAAAAATATAAAATTGCAGAACACAGACCCGATTTGGAATCCAGAAATACATGCAGATGAACTGAGTAAAATCAATTTTTTTCTTTTTTCTTTTTTTTGTGGAGTAAAATAATATTCTGAGTTCCCCGGGGCCAGTCAGTTTGACGGAGGATATCTCTACCTTCTTCCCCCGATTAGAACGTACGTCCATTTCGCTTCATCGGGGGCCAAGTCCCCCTTTCCCGAATTCTCCATCTTCTGACCGTAGATTACGAAAACAAAAAAAAAGAAAAAAAAAAAGAACGTACGTCCATTTCGCTGCATCGGGGGCCAAGTCCCCCTTTCCCGAATTCTCATCTTCTGACCGTAGATTACGATGATCAGCGGCCAGAAATGAGAAATGAAGAATCAACGTAATTGGGACTTGGCCCCCGGGTTGGGTTCGTGTAACTCCCAGCGACGGAACGTTATGGGGAGGAAAATGAAAACGCATGGCAAAAAAAAAAAAAAAACGCATGGCGGGGATAGAGAACAAATCCATGCGGGGGGAGAAAGAAAATACATAGCGGGGATAGAGAACAAATGCATGCAGTGCCATGCACCAGCGCGCCAACCTTTTTTCTTCAGCCCAATATAACGTACGGTCATTAGGCCTGTATTTGGGGCAACTTTCAGACCAGATGCAGCAATAATGACCGTACGTGGTATTCGGGGGAAGATGGTAGCTGGCTCAATTCATAGCAAACCCAGGATCGAATCCGGGTTCGAATCCGTTTGCAATAACATGACATTAAAAAAAAAAAAAAAGATTGGGCATTATTAAATTTTAATGTTCCTGGTCGCAATTCGACGTGTTTTTTTTGTTGAGAACCGAGATCGTCAGGGCTTACCGTGCTCCCGTATGTAGGACCTGACGAATTCTGATGAACAAAGACTGAAATTGCGACCAGGAACGTGAAAAGTTCAATGCCTAAAGGAGAAATTTCAAATTACCTTTGGTCCGTAAGGTCAATGATAATATGTCAAGGCCGTCGCCCTTTGAAAAGAAGGGAAAAAAAAGAAGGATGATAGAAAAAAGAAGGGATGAAAAACACAAATGCAGGCCGGGATTAAGACCAAAAACAAATGCATGCGGGGTGTTTTGCCTTTTTTTTTTTTCTTTTTTTTTTTTTCCTTCCGAAGGGCAGCCAATATGTCGTATGATCCAGGCACTCCGGCCTGATTCATACGACACATTGGCTGCTGTTGAATAACTTGAAATTATACCAACCGGAAAACGGGTCCGCCGTCCCTCACATCATACTAGGAAAAAGACTTAGTGCAGGGTTGAGGAGAATGTTGGTTCCTTGTAGCTGCGGGATTGTACAGACGCTTATCTTGCTGTTATATATTGGAGTGCATGCCTTGCTGAAGGTGACATCATGCTTAAGGGTGTTCTGCTTTTAAATTGCATGCACGGGATAAAAATAGATCGTAATATTCGGATCCTTGCCTTGCTGAAGCTGACATGCTTACGGGTGTTTTGCTTTTAATTGCATGCGGGGGATAAAATTAGAACGTAATTTTTGGCTTGCCTTCTTTAAATGCATGCGGGGATCCTAGCTGCGGGATTGTACAGACGCTTATGTTGCTGTTATATATAGGGATGCTTGCCTTGCTGAAGGTGACATGCTTAAGGCTGTTTTGCTTTTAATTGCATGCACGGGATAAAAATAGATCGTAGTTTTTGGCTTGCCTTCTTTAAATGCATGCGGGGATCCTAGCTGCGGGATTGTACAGCCGCTTATCTCGCTGTTATATATAGGGATGCTTGCCTTGCTGAAGGTGACATGCTTACAGGTGTTTTGCCACGGGATAAAAATAGATCGTAATTTTTGGCTGGCCTTCTTTAAATGCATGCGGGGATCCAGCGACGTAGCTCAGTTGGTAAGGCACAGATCGGGAATAACACACATGCGATAGAAGATCAGACAAGAGCGGGACACACTTGACACACAAAGCATGCAAATGTGAGACACACGTGAACCCAGACCGTTGTCTGAAAGAAAGACGACATAACTTTATTATGAGAACGTAGTAAATGACCAAGAGACCCAGTGGTCGGGCTCGTTGAATCACTACTTTCTCCCCGCCTCAACTTCCTCCCGAGACTTCCCCGCAGTCATTTCACCAACCCTTCACGGGGCAACCCCCGATGCCATGTCTAAAAAAGAGGACAATCATTACGTAGGTTCTCTATTAGTACTCTACTAGTTCTACTATCGACTGCAACAGCAGCACGGCAAACTGCCACATTTCGTCTCGGTTCGTAGCGAAAATCTTCAGAGCCTTGTCGAAAATGTCGTCCGGGAACCCTTTGGCCCGGAACTCTTTTCGTACGCACAAAACCTGTCTCGGGATGCTGGTTCGGACTGTCGTGTTCCGGTCTATCCGATGGAGCCATCCGGTAATCGCGGGGATCTTATGCTTCCGACTGGACCAAGACAGGAAATCCTGGCCGGTTCTAAAAATAATGTCTCCGGTGGTCCACAGGGTGATCTCATTCTTAGTCTGTTGGATGCTACCCAGATACGGGTAACTGGGTCTGACCTGCATCTTACAGCCCAAAAAGTCCCAGGTACTCGTTTTTCGTCGGTTCGCTTCAAAGCAAGTGATCTGGGGGAGCATCTTTCAAACCTCCTTCTGATCCGATTTGCCTTTCCGTTGCTCACCCTTCTTGTAAGCTAAGAACAGGGAAACAATCTATTAGTCGTACACCAAAAACCAGCTTCCGATCAGCCCCCAAAGAGGCCAGAAAAGCACCTTCCTGGGCTCAATCCGGAGGTCTTGAGCTCAATCCCCATTGGCCTCATGTACCTTCCTGGGCAAGCTTGGCGCCCGCCACCTAGAGATATGCCGTTGCTGGCCCCTCCCCAGTGGCATTGAACATAGACTGCTAATGTTCATAGGGGAAGGGGCCCGGAGACTGGAGGGGAGGCACAGTGACCGACTGGCCCATCATCAAAGAAGAAGCTCGGTCCTGATGCTACCGGCTGACCCCTGGCTGGGGGCAAGGTCCCACTTGCACAAATTAGGAGATTTGGGCCGTTGATTTTTGCTATCTACGGTCAGTATCTCTTAGTTCGTGCAAGTGGGACCTAGCCCCGGTATCGCCCACCTGCTGTAGCAGGTTTCGCACCGGCTGGCTGGTGGGTGCAGCTCCCGCATGTTCCCTCCTAGTTGGATGCTTGAGCACGGATGTGGCTGCTACGGGGTTCCCCGTAATACTATAATGACAAAAAAAATGGCCTGATGGGCCATCCTGTCCAGATTCGACAGGTAATTGAATTGGTTGCTTAACGAATAAGCCTTCATAATTTTTTTAAAAAAAAATGTGGGGGAAATCCAACCGTCAAGATTTCTCCCCGGAGGTACTCGGCCGGGGGATTGATCCCAACCGTCGAGATGTTTACTCAGAGGGACTCGGCGACGGAAGTTGATGACGTGATTTGAGAAAAAGAGGGGCCACAGAGAAGAGTGGATGAATTGAAGTGTTGTCGCGAAGGACCTGCTGGACTAGTACTCGTCCTTCCTTAAAGCCACAAAAAAAAAAAAAATCGCTAAATTGACCGGCCCCTCCTTTCACTCACCCTGTTTTACTATCTACCTATTTCAGAAAACCGCCCCCTCCTTTTGATGGCGTTGTGTGTGTGTGTGTGTGTGTGTGTGTGTGTGTGTGTGTGTATTTACACAGGCACGTGGTCATCGGGTGATGACAATTTCTCCTCGCTACGACCAGTACAAAGATGCTTGGGACACGCAGACAATGGCTCAGGTGAGCTCTCTCTCTCTCTCTCTCTCTCTCTCTCTCTCTCTCTCTCTCTCTCTCTCTCTCTCTCTCTCTCTCTCTCTNGGCTGTGACAAACTGTTTCGTCGGAGTTTCACCGACTAGTATACCTGCAATAGCTATATAGCTATAGGCTATAGCACGACCATAGTGCGTCAGATCTGTCTCTTATACACATCTAGATGTGTATAAGAGACAGGTACAAAGATGCTTGGGACACGCAGACAATGGCTCAGGTGAGCTCTCTCTCTCTCTCTCTCTCTCTCTCTCTCTGTGTGTGTGTGTGTGTGTGTGTGTGCGTGCGTCTTTTGTTTATCTGTTGGTTGCATTAATCCAGGGGATGTGTGGAGAGGGAGGGTTTGAGAACATCATCGCGCATTGAGAGTGTTTTTTTTTTTTTTTTTTTCAAAAAGCTCTATTTTTTGGTTGGTGGTGGACGAGAATATTCAGAGCGAACACGCCGGCGAGAGAGGACGGTCGGGTAAGACTTCACCTCCTCCTCCTCCTCCTCCTCCTCCTCCTCCTCCTCCTCCTCCTGCTCCTGCTCCTGCTGCAACTGCTGCTGCAGCTGCTCCCTCCCTTCACTTCTCCTCCTCCACCTCCCCTTCCTCCCTCTTTCAGTTCTTGAATGTACTTTTGTGCATTTCTTGCTTCGTTGACTGTCCACATCATTGATTGATCCACGCATTGATTGAGAGACACATGAATTGATAGACTCGTTGAAATGATTGATTGATTATTTTGGTCGAATTGATTGTTTGGTTGGTTGATTCATTAATTGATTGGTTGGTTGGTTGACTGATTGGTTGGTTGATTGATTAATTGATTGGTTGGTTGATTGATTGATTGATTGGTTGGTTGGGTGGGTGGGTGGTGGTTGGTTGATTAGCGTCGTTGATGTTGTGACATGGACTATGAAATTCGTATGTAGGTCACCGTAGGAGGGAAGGTTGAGACTGTGAGGTTCTTCCATGCGCGCAAGTGCGGAGTGGATCGGGTCTTCGTCGATCATCCCCTCTTTCTCGAAAAGGTACGTTGGCGAGCTGTGCTCCATTACTAGGAGGTAGAAGGGGTACCTTATACCTTGTACCCCAGCCCTCCCCAGCCAAGGGCCCAAGGGGTACCTTATACCCCCCGACCACTTACCTACCACCTGTGGAGTAGGTAGGAGGAGGAAGGTAGCTAAGCACGCCACGTACTAGGTGGACCACTGGTTCTATGCCTATCCCTCCCGTACGTACCGCTATCTTCTAGCCTGTTATAAAGAGGGTGGAAGGTACCCCTCCCACCTGGGGAGTGCGAGAAGGTTGGGTTATAAGGTTATAAGGTACCCCTTCTACCGTTCTACCTACGTGCAAGAGTTCCGTGCAGGCCCCTTACACCCCCCCACCCCATCAACCTTTTGAACCCCCTTTCTTCGCACGAATTCCGACCACTGCAGCAGGCCTCGCAGTACAGGCTTACAGACCTCTTTTATTTCTTCTTCTTTTTTTTTCCCCACTTCTTTTCTTTCTTTTTGTTTTATCTGTCAGAACGCTCCCAACTTGGTTTAATTACAAAAAAAAAAAAAAAAAAAAAAAAAAAATCCCCCAATTCCTGCACCGATGCTGAGTAATGGTCCCAGTATTGTTTCCTTTCCAGGTTTGTTTGTTGAGGGATTCCTGGATTCGGGTTTTTGGTTGAAGGATTCTCGGCCTCAATTTTGCATGTTAATAAAAGGGAAGTGCCTTGAAAAGTATTGTTTTTGCCTTTAAAAAGTGTTGTGTTTTTTCTGGTTAAAAAAAAGGAAAAAACGGAAAAAAAGAATATTCCCATGGTCCCATCCCATTATCCCTCGGAGGACCAGGAATGAGGAGTGCAAAAAAAAAAAA